GCCTCCCAGTGTGCTAGGATCACAGCACTATGCCACCCCACCCAGCACATAAGGACATTGAAAGATTTGTTTTTTTTTTTTTTTTTTTTATACCAAGAATCAAATTCAGGACCTTGCACTTGCCAGGCAGGTGCTTGTGCCACTGACCTATATCCCTGGTCCTAAAGATTTATTTCTAATAAATATCTTAAAAGCACATCTATGCAACATATAGATTAATGATTCTATCCTCACTATTCATATCTATTGATCTTCTCATTGTTCTGTTTTTCACCCCATCTCACTCTTCTATTCCTTTTTCTGGGTTCCTAACTCTTTTGCTGATAACCCTAACCCAACAGTACCTCCCTGGTTACTTTTTGCTATAACAAAAGACCTCTGACTGATGACATCTGTTATTATAGCAGTTTTTTAAGTGTAATATCAAGTCACTGATGTGCTTGCTATCCCTATTATAAGTCTCTTTCTGCCTATGAATTTGCCTATTCTGATCAAAGATTCTGATATTTATTAGGATGGTTAAGACAAGGTAATTCTAAAATCTTTTAGAAACCATCAGGACTTTGGAGTTGTTCCCAGAAAAGTCTGCATAGTGTGGGATTCAGGCCCCTAGCAGAACCAGATATCTGCCTTGTTGTAACACCTCATCTGTGCTATATACCAGATGATAAGGACGACTTGGACAGTACATTAGGATGTCACAAACACATTTTTCACAAACACATGATTCAGTAAGGCGACCATTAAGAAAAAGGAAGATTAACATTTCCATCCATATAGGCTCAAATTATTTTAATAGTTGGATATTCTTTAAGGTAAATTCATGTTAAATGACCTCAAGGAGAAAGGAAGACACTACCAGGCAATTAAGGGACGTGGTGTGGCGAAGGGTGGAGGAGAAGACACCAGAGGGGTAAAGAAGGGGGAATCCTGGAACACATTAAAGTAGCTAACATTTTTGCAGAGGCCTGGCTGGCCCATCTGCAGCTATAGGGCCAAGATAATATAAGCTAACAGAGGGTCCACTCCTCAAGGAGGTGGTCTTGAAGAAAGAGAACAGAGAATGGAAAATTTAAAAAGTCAGTCCATTTTCAGTATCCTTTAGTCCAAAGATGTGTCATTAGCAGGCAGCTAAGTCCCTGTCAGCAGAGAGGCTGCTGGACCCTGAGTGGTACCCAGAGCACCAAAACATGTTTCATAGAATATGCCATCTCATGTAACAAACAAGGGGTTTCCTGCCCCAGAACAGGCCTGCCTCTACAGTCAGGACACTTTAAAACTCCTGTGTGGGCAGAGTCCTGACCCACGTGGGAAAAGCTTTGCGTGTCTTCATTCTATACTCTCCAACTTAGCCACATCCTGTGACTTATTGTGCATGTGTTCAACAACAATGTTAGGGAAGGGGACACAATGTGCTGTCCAAGTGTGGTGTGTGGACCAGTGTTAGACCAATTCATGATAAATACAGAAATTGGGAGTATGAGTCGAGAACCATTTACATTGTAGCACATGTTCAATGGTCTGCTGTTTTCTCTATTTCATTTTTACATTTCACAGAAGGTATCAATCTGGGATGATTAGACATAAAAATCTACAATCAAAATGAAACAGGTCTCTATACTTATAAAGTCCTGGTCCAGCCTATACTGCCCATCTAAAAGTCAGTTATGAGAACAAGAACCATAAGCCCTGGAGCTTTCCCTTTGCTGCTCTAAGTGGAACCTTATTCTCTCTCATCCACCTCTTCCTGCTTCCTTGTGCAACAGGTCAAACCAAAGTGAGTTCACAAAGAACGCAGGCCACTGCCCATGCGTAACTATGGGCTCAGCACTCAGCAATTTAACTCCTCATGGACAGGACCCCAAGGAGATGTCCCCACAACTAAAAGGAAGACCTTGCTACTAAGCCTATTAGGAAAATTCCTTCAAAAACTGCAATATGCAGCCACTGTGGCCTCACACTTTTCAGCTCCTGACCCCTGGCAAAGAAAATATTGACAAGTATTGAGTCATTCCGTTGAAATTCCCTTAGTGTAAAAGTACAGGCCCCAACATACACTTGCCACACCCAGATCACAAAGGTTAAAGTGTAAGTGAAAAACATTGCAGGAACTTGATATGGAGTAAAGTAATGGTTTCTGACCTGAAAAGGAGAAAGCAAAAAATAGCTCCTTCTATAATTCAGAGTGATTACCACTTATGCAACACATTATAGGGCTGGCTCAAATGAGCAAAGCACACTGGCTACACCTAACCTCTTTGCCTCTGGCACGACATTTTATCCATGTAATAGTAACATTATTATAATGTCAATGGGAAACGGTCAATTTTCTTCCTGAGAAATGCAAAGTGATTCCCACACCTTATTTCAGTGAATCTCACAACATTCTAGTGAAGAAACCCTGCTCTGATTTACAGATCAGACCCAAAAGATATGTCTGAGGTCACATAAGGAATACAGAGAACAACATAAATGTAAATTATGGAAATTATATTATTAGACTCAAATTAGGGAAGGTCAAGGGAATATGGAGGTACTTCACTTGCAGGCCAACATGGTCTCAACATAAAACAGAGCATTACAAATACTCCTAAGAGGAAAGAGTGAGCCCACCACTTATGGGAAACAACTGGGAAATGTGTAAGTAACAGGTACCTTAATAGAGTAAATATTACTTACTCTACTGGTGGAAACATCTCTGTTCCCTAGATGTCTCAGTCCTGCAGTCTGATTCAGTAGCTGTCCAGAAAATCCACTGATTTCAACCCAGTTGGAGACTAAATTGAACAATCTTCACTAAAGGTTTAGAGAAAAAATGCAACTCTCCCTCCACCAGTATGTAACCACTAATACTCTAAAGAGACAGACACCAATCGGAAGATCTTTAATACCTAAAGGCAAATCATCATAACCCAGAAGGTCTATGGCAACACAGCCCCACAATTAGCTACTTCTTATGAAGGACATATAAATCATTTTAATTGGTCATGAAAACATGAATGGAAAACACAAAAAAATCAAAACTGAAATATTGAGAATGAGTCTTTAAGAAATATCCTACATACATTATCATTAATTCTCACCATAGCCTTTTGGGTATACATTATTGTTCCTTTCTATAGTTAAGAAAATACATTGGGTATGGTGGCACAGGCCTATAATCTCAGCACTCAGGAAGCTGAGCCAGGAGGATCACCATGAGTTCAAGGTCAGGCTGGGCTACATAAGCAAGTTCAAGGCCAGCCTGAACTACATAGTGAGACTCTGCAGAAAGAAAGAAAGAAAGAAAGAAAGAAAGAAAGAAAGAAAGAAAGAAAGAAAGAAAGAAAGAGAAAAAGAAAAAAGAAAGAGAGAAGGAAGAAAGAAACACAAAGAAAGAAAATACACTTAGGCTAAGTGACTTGCACATGGTTAAATAAATGCCTATTAAATGACACTTAGGCTTTGAATTTATGTTTGTCTAGTTCTTGGATTTAAACTTCTTCCACTGCACAAAGCTGTTACAATCAGATTATAATTCACCTCTCTCCTGAAATGACTTGTTCTTCTACACCAGTGATGGTGAACCTATGACACGTGTGCTAAACCAGGCACACAGAGCCCTCTCTGTTGGCATGTAAGCCAAGTTGCCCCAGCAGCCGAGCACTGGATAACAGTTGTTTCAAAACTAAAACCTCAGTAATCAGGTTAAATGCAGAATTGCCACTCTGCAATAAATAAGTGGATTTGGGGTTGCAGTTTGGGCACCTAGTCTCTAAAAATTTTGACATCACTGTATTATATCTATTTTGGAGTACTTCTTTGTCCTATTCTAAGGAGAAACTCTCAGTACAAATAGAAAAAAAACACCTATTTCTGGTGCTGAAAGAAATCACATTTGACAATTTAAGATTTAGATTTGTTAGAAATTCTGGAAGCTGCGACTCTCATGAACAATGGCAAATAAATCCATGGAAAAATATTCAACATCACTGGTCACTCAAGAGATGGAAATAAAACACTGAAATTCCATCTCACCCCAGAAAGAATGGCTATTATCAAGAAATCGACCAGTAAACAAATGCTGGAGCAGATGTGTGGAAAAAGGAACTCTTCTCCACTGCTGGTGGGAGTGTAGATTGATACAACCACTGTGGAAATCAGTGTGGAGTTTCCTCAGAAAACATTAGAGGTCCCACTCAACCCAGCTAGTCCCCTTCTGGGTATCTTCCCAGAAGGATTAAAAACATCATACTGCAGTGATATATGTGTACCCATGTTTAGAACAACACACTTTGCAATAGTTAAATCTTGGAAACAACTCGAATGCCCATCAACCAAGGAATGGATAATAAAAATGTGGTATTTTTATACAATGGAGTACTACTCAGCCATAAAGAAGGATAAACTGGAGACTTTTATAGGTAAATGGATGCAATTTGAAATCATACTCATAAGTGAAATAAATCAGATTTGTATGTGTAAACATTGTATTGTCGCCCTAGTGTGAAAAGCTGGAAGAGTAAATCCAAAATGCACAATAGATATTGTGAAATGGGAAGAAACTTCTCAAAAGGAAAGAGAAACTGGAATGGGGAAAGGAGAAAAGAAGGAAGGAAAAAGCAAAAAAAAAAATTATCTTAATTCACTGAAAAGAAAGGTTTGTGCTAATATTGTTTGGACAATTAAATATCTATATCTTGTACTCTGAGTAAGTAAATTTAAAGATAACAATACTCAATGTTTTAACCATTGTTATTCTCCTATTGTTTTGCAATTTTCTTTTTTTTCTCTCTTTAAAATAAAATTTTAAAAACAGAAAAGAAATTCTGGAAGTGGGAAAAGTACTGCTTAGGCTCTGTCTTCATTTATCAGGGTCCAGAGTTCCCTCATAGCCTGCTTCTTTCCCCACACCTGTGCCATTGGTCCAGGCTTTGTGCCCCTCGACTGCCATTTTACCCACACAATGCACCAAGCCAGGGAACCCATAAGCAGAGCGCTCCCGGCAATCTCCGTCTTACCTTAGGGTTGCTGGGGCTGCCTTGTCTTCTGGTTCTTCTACCACCTCAGATAGCTCTGGGGGAAGGAAAGCATCTCTGTTGACATTATTCACCCAGCTTTCCTTTGCCCTGATTGCTCTGTCCTTACTCTGCTCAGCTGAAATACGAAATAATAAAGACAGGAAGGTTACCTCTCACTTCCACAATCCGTAACTCTCTCTTCAGCTCCTATCACTAAGGGCTCAAACCTGAACCTCAGGCTCTCTGAATGCCGAAGCTATCTGAGTCCGGGAGCATAATTACATCTTTAAGAGAAGTCAGTAACTCTCCGTGACATTAGCTGCCCCTCAAGCAGAATTTCCTAAGAGCATGGGTGTACCTTTAAGTGTGCACGTAACTGAGGAGGTTGCTAATGCAAAACTTTGACTACCTCTAGGTTAATCTGATTTGAATTGGGATCAGGAGTGACGTTGGGCCAGGGGATATGTAAGGTAGGGAGTATTCAATGGGGTAGAAGCATCATCCTTACCAATCATTTACCAAACATCTACAATGTACGCAACAGGATGCTTGGCCCTGAGATACAAAGGGGGAACAAATGATGCTAATCTGGACTGTTCCTCTCCTGGCGTCCTGGCGTCCTCCGTTTCCTTTCTCCTACAGTCTGCATACAAATTCTGCATCCACATCATCCAGCCCAGATGTCCGAGACCCACTAAAGCTCTGTGCTCCTTCTTTAGAAAATAAACTCTTTTGCCTCTGAACACCCAATATTCTTTTTTTTACCTGAACCTCTTTGATCATTAGCATAAACTGGAGTGATGACTGACTCAGGCACCGTGCTGAGGTCTTTGTATGTATTATCTTATAAGGTAAGATCAATTTTCTAAATTTAAAAATTTGGAAATTAAGGAACGAAGAGTTCAAGAAAATTGCCTAAGGCCACATAGCAAGTATGTGCCAAAAATACACCCAGCAGCATCAAGATGAAGCAATACTGGGGCTTTCAATTGCCAAATACAGTCCAGGGTGGTGGCCCCTACAGGTCTCATCACACAGGAGTCTAGTTTCTTCAGCTGCAAAATGGGGCACACAGTGCTATGTAGTACCCTTCAAGATTTCTTACAGTCTAGGTGGTTTAGGAAAGCATGAGAGCTGCATGCAGTACACTGTCCACACGAAGCAAGTAGCCCTAATCTGCATGGAGTGTGGCACTGAGAAAAATTTCAAACCCCAGCTCTGCCATTTGTCAACAGTATGATCTCAGGCAAGTAACCCTCAGCTTGTCCAAGAAAGCTGATGGGGAAAAAAATACCAGTCTTACAAGATGAAATAACACAGTATGTCTACAACAGACACACAAAAGGTAATTGCTATTTTCTTTATGACATACAGGCTAGACCCAGATGGGTTTATACCGACTAATCCAGAGTTGGAGAAAAGACACGCAATAAATATCTACTAAACTAAAAAAATTCTAAATAAGTCCTCAAACAGTTCCCTTTATATCTCTTAAAAAATATACTTGGTTGACTTAAAAAATTCCAGTTGTCAAGACCATCAAACAGGGAGGCTGATCTCTGTCTAAACCTTCTCCTTACTCAGAAGGCTCAGAATTTCCAGGGTTAAAAGCCAAAGCGGAGGGGGTAGACCTCTGATGAATCCCAAGTACTACAACTCAGCATAGTGCCCAAAGTGCTTCCTGTGTTCCTCTACACCAGCTGAGTCATTTGGTCCCACCCTCCTCCATCCAAACCCCAGGCAAGAGGATTTTGAGCTGCAGGGTCATAAATTATGCAAAGCATACCTGGGACAAACTTCCTCCACAGATTTCAGTAACAGTTCTGACATCCTTCCCCATTCCTCCTTCCCAAAGAAATGCTGGCTATAAGCACTCAGCCCAATCATCTCACCTGCTGCCGGTAGCTTCTTCTTTCTCATGGATGCTCTGATGATATCTGCACCATGGATTTTTTCTCTGTGCCTTTTGGCTTTAGCTTCATAAAACCATTGTCCACTCATATTCTTCAGCTGCTGGTCATCCTTAATTTTTTCAGGCAAATGTCTACAAAAGGAAAAGAGCTTTACTGTGTTGAGAACCCACAGTAAATAAATGACACTGCATAAATAAATTTGTAAACATAGAGGCAAAGTGAACCTCTCAGTATTTTGGACACTACAAACCTCCCAGATGACTAACAAATGTTCCTCTCTGATTGGAAATTCAGAGAAACCAAGGCCAATATCCATCTATCTATCATCTATCTATCTATCTATCTATCTATCTATCTATCTTTCAAAGGTTTAATCCATGATCCTAAGATGACATCTCAAATTTCTCAAAAGCAGATTCATTTGTCGGTTGTAGTCTTCTGTATCTACTGGCCCAGTGCAAGTACCCCAGAGAGGGATGATATAGTAAGCTTCCCTAAACATTGGATTGTCTATAAATAGGCAATTACAACAGTGACCCATCTCTTGAGGATATCTTGAGGATAAAATAAACTAATAATACATATAAACTGAGCATGCCTGGTACCTAAGAAACACTGGATAAATAACTCAGGGAGATTTAGTTACCAGTTCATCAGTCCTTTCCATTGTGGTGAAATGAGTTTAATCAGAGACCTTCCTGGAAGGTTGAAAGGAATGGGGGCGTGATGTTCCTAGTGCTTAATGTTGACGGAATGAACACAGAAAAAGCAGGGGGAGGGGCTGGGGATTTAGCTCAGCAGCAAAGCACCTGCCTGGCAAGCGCAAGGTCATGAGTTCGGTTCCCAGTACTGGAGAAAAACCAAAAAAAAAAAAAAAAAAAAAGAAAAGAAAAAGCAGGGGGAATCAGGAAAGACTAAGTTGCAGAAGCAGAGCACAAGGGCAGATTCCACTTGTGCAGATATTGCTTTCAGAGTTCCACAATCACTCATGCTTACTGAAAAGTTAAAACCTAAATAGCAATGCTGCCCTTCTAAACCTTCCCTAACTTATATGCACTGGAAAAACATTGTTCTAATTGGTAAATCTTTTGGCCTCTGCATCTAGCTCAATAAAATGTGAATCACAAATATATTTTTTCTTATTCATACAGATATAGTCAGGATAAAGTGGAATAAAATCCTTCAGGAAATATTGAGCTCTTGGAAAACAAAGTACTACATAAGTCCAAGGGAGTTTTATGATGGTTATTTGAGCTAATGTGCAAACCTCCTAAAGTAGCAAATCTGTTTTAATCTGAGAATGTTCAGGGGCCAACATGGCAGCAGGCTGGGTGTGAGCGCTGCATACAAGTGTACTTGGAAATCGGGAATATGAGTGGGGAGTTACCCCGAGTCTACCAAAGATGGCTTCTTTCTCCCAAGCATGCCTGGTTAATGTCAACTCTGCTGCAATGTCTTCTCTCTCAATTACCTAGGAACACGTGACCCTACCGCAAGTGTGCCCATCACCAGCCTGGCCATACAGCATCATGGTAGCCCATTTCCAAATTCTAACAGGGACAGCATTGTCACTTCATTGTTCCAAGTCATCACAGAGAGTATGGCTCTTAATATTTCTAGTGCCCAAGGCTTTGAGCAGAGCAGATAAGCCCTGCTGGGCTATTGGAGTAGCTTTACTTCCTGCTCTCAACAGGACCAAGTCTGAGTTCAAGTCCAGAAGAGAGAAATCCTGCCACTTCTCCCTAGCAGACTGAGCTCCCTGGGGCGGGGCACTGAACCAGCGCTTGCAGAGAGAAGGCATGCCAGGGGCCCCTGACCACCTGGCTGCAAGTTACCACTTCAGCTTCACCTTCCCACACTTAGCACTTAGCATACCCTGCTTACTAGCACACTCAACTTCTTCCTGTCCTCCAAACTGCTTTGTGACTCCTGTAGAAGCCAAAAGAAGCAGGAAGACATGGCAGAAAGAATACAGGCTTTGGAGGCTTCCCAAATTATATCCAAATCCCAGTTCTGATTCTTCTTGTCTGTAACCATGAGGAGGCAATTGAACCTAAACCTCAGTCTCCTTGCTTGTATAATGGGGAAGAAATGAGACCTACCCTGCAGGATTTCTGAGATAGCTAACTGAAGTGCTTGCCTGAAAGTCACTCAGGATGTCATTCCCTGCTCCTCTTTCCAACACATTGCTTCTCATTCTTCAGCTGTAGCTCAAGATCAAGAGGGCACTCTTTGCCCTCCTCTAAGCTCCCACCACACCTGCCCTCGGCACTCACCACCCCAGCGTACAATGATCTGTTTGCACATCTGATTCACCCACTAATCTGTCAAATCTGCAAACTCCCTGAAGACGAGGATTACAGCTAATCACTTTTGAAACCCTGGTGTACAGCACAGAGCCTGGCACAGGGCTGATACCCAGTAACTGTTTGTTGAGTGACTAAATCAAATAAAAGCTCAGCAGTCACCCTAGTTTGAGTCAGGTAAGAGGTAATGAAGATCTCGTCACTGCTGAGGTTCAGTGAGCCATGCCCCATCACAAAGGCAGGGTCTTCTAATGAGGCAGGATATGCTCATCTCTCATCAGAACAGGAAAAAAACACGATAAAATATGGCACCTGTCAGCATTCTTGCTGAAGGAGCCACAAACCATCATAGCATAACAACTCCCAACTGCTCTTCACAAGATTATTTATTAATTTTTGTTCAATTAGAAGTCACTTTGTAGGGATTCTGTGCAACTCTTAATCCATTCCTGCCTAACTGACTTGGCTGCAAACCCCTGACCCACACACAACACGGACAGGCTATGTGCATCAGACCCTGTTAACACCTGGTCCCTGAAAAGCCTGGTAGCCATGAGGATAAGGACTGGGTTTGCAGCTCCTTAGTTTTAAAGTGAGAAAAGAATCATACACTGTCCATGCACTGAATTCTTTGAAAAGAATCTGAATTCTTTAAAAACTTATTAAGTGCTACTTATGTGTTTCCAACTTGATTATCACCATTAGGTTTAATAATCACTGTCGTTTTCTATCTTGGTCACTTGTAATATTTTGTAACTGACTCCATATGTGTGACATCAAAGACCAAGTTTTGTAAAGATGTAGATCATTAGAAAGTTCCATTACTGTGCCATTAAGATCTCTTCTACTAGTGCATGTTGATTTCTCATTTTCTCTGAATGTAATCACACCAACCACATCAGCACTAGATTTTCTAATAGTTACATCATCTAGTTGAAATGGAAAAGGATAAATTTGGGAGGACAGATTTTTGTCCTTTACCATCCTCTCCATACTCATGCATCATGCAGAGAAGTTAAGATGCTCAAAAAAGCGGGTGGTTGGGTGGGCAGCAGTGCACTCCAGGAAATGCACATCCAGGTCATGTCCTACCCATTCCTCCTTTCCCTTTGCTAACACACAGAGTCTGTTTTGTACCGAACCATACATTTGGTACTCAACATGCATTATATCATTTAATCCTTTTACCACCATATACAAATAATTTAGTTAATTAAAAAGATGGCCATTGTGCTTCTCTGTATGTTAAAGGATGTATCTAAATCCTGGCTGGTTATCTGTTCACTTATTCATTCATTAATTATCTATCACATGCCAGGCATATGTGTGGAGTTATACATAAAAATTCACTCTGTAGCTGTCACTGCCACTGTCAGCTCTCTCCAGGGCACAGATAGTATGAGGATTTACAGAGGAAAGCTAGATGTGCAGCCCTCCACACTGGCTTCAACACTTTCGCCCACCTCCTCTTCTCCCTGTTCTCACATGTGCATACCCCAGCTTCCAGCTCCTCAGTATGAACAGATATAATTTCAGAGCAGGACCTGGTGGATCCAGCCAGTTATGGAAGCCAAGAATCATGGATGGTTAGGCTTGCCAGAGAGATGATGGGTCCATTTCTTAGTCTTCTCTTTTTGATATTGTTTAATCCCCCATATAAACTGGGCAAGACTGTGTGACTTGAAAGTATTCTTAGATATTTAGAGTGAGAGCTGGAAAAAACCTTGGGCAGTTGCAAATGGCCTCACTTTCTAGATGAAATAACTGAGGTCCAGACAAGTGAAGACACTTATCCGAGTGTCTTCAGTTAAGATGGTATCCAAGGTCACACAGAGCTGGGACAAGGAGCCACCCTGCTTTCCTCTACCCCATCCTGCTTCAGAGAATCAAGCATCATTGTGCTTTTAAGATGCTGACCACACTTCATCCTTTATACCAAGGGACTCAACCTTTTGTGGAGACTCTGGAAACCAACATATGTGGAGACAAAAGAAGCTGCACATGTTTCTTATGGTGAAAAAGATTTAAGAAATACATCCCTAGACTGTGAACACATCAGAGAATCCCACAGTGTGAGAGACAGCACAGTGCTTAGAAAGTACACAGCCTTGGCAGTTAGATCGACAAGGCCCTAAGTCTGCAGGGCGCTTGCTCTCATCTACCCTATTTTCTCATCTGTTGAATAGTTCAGCTAAAATGTTCTGATGATGAAAGAAGAAAATGTATGGGAAGCTCCATGTGCGATGCAGCCCCTTCATAAACGTGGGTTCCTTTCCCTCTTCCTCTGACAGAAAACATCAGAGGTCCTGAAGTCAGTTCTTCAATGACAACTGCCTTCACTTAAAACAAGCTAGGTCTTCAGGAGGCAGCTGAGGCTTATAAGATGTGGTGGCAGTGAAGATGGGATCTACTGCAAAAGCATCCATCACTGTGGATGTGGTTGTGTGTACGGGGGGAGGTGTGGAGCCGGTGTGGGCACAGACATACATGTGCAGCAATTTCCTGCTGGCAGTGTGACCCAAGGCACAGGAAAAAACACCTCAACAGTGTGTCATTTTTAAAGCATAAATGACTAAAATTACATGTGTACATTATGGTAGTTTTTCCTTAAAAGGCAGGGTGGGCAAGAGAGACCCAGACCAATACATAGCAGGGAGGTAAAAAGGGGAGAGGGGAATAAAGGGGAGAAAGGAGAGAGGAGAGAGCACACACACACACACACACAGAGAGAGAGAGAAAGAAAGAGAGAGAAGAAAGAGGGAGTTAGTTCTGCTCTGCTTCCCTGCTAGTCTGTGAAATGTCTCTACCTAGGAGTTAGGGACACAAGCTGACAACTTGGGGCAGCACTTGGTGGCTATGCAAAGAGAAGCAACACAAATGAGAGTAATGGTGGCAACAGTGACCTGGAACTGTCACTTCTCAACTGCACCCCAGCGACACAATAGAGGTTACCTCCTAGGGCCCAGTTGATATCCTAGCACTAACATGTTGAGTGACTTAGGAACTGGATGCTTCTGTAAACACTCGTTTTTTTCATCCATAAAGTCAGGATCGGAGGTCACATACAAGCTAGATCATATCCAAAGTGTCTTGAGTGAGGCTGGATGCGAGCTATTCAAAGCTACGGACATGTCGGGAATGGCAAGCAGATTTCAACTCTCAGATTTCTAAATCTCAGCTACTGAAAGTACTGAAGTCCTACTGAAAAGCAGAGTCCTGAAGCAGGATCTGGACTGGCCGGCAGCAGTGCTATCACCCATTAGTGATGTCCTCAGGACTACAGGAGGACTGTACTTCTGAGCCCATAAAAATTAGCATTTGAAAGAACAGTCTGATTTATAGTGGCAGGTTTACCTTTCTAATGATGTTTTGCTTAGGGTAATATTGTAATTATATAATTGGCATTTTTAAGCCATATGCCAATTAGAAGAACTGGTGTATTGTAAAGTCATGTCAGGGAGACATTTAGATTTTAAATTCACATTAAATGCCTTGAGGGCTGGGATCTTGTTTTCAATCATCCTAGAATTTTCTTTATATCATTGTCCAGAGTAGTTCCTTGTACTTAATAGGTACTCAATTAAATTTTACTTCACTAAATAATAGTTTTAGTAGTAATTTCCCACTAAGGAGTCAGGCTATTAACTAGAGTCTTCTGTCCTTTCAAAAGGCACAGGTGAAATGGTGGATAAGACGCTAAAATGGCTCCATCATCTATCATGTGCCAGGAAGATTAAGAAATATTTTACTTAATTCTGACTTTAAACATTTGAATTTGATACTATGATAATTCACAGTCTCTGAATTGAGGCTCGGAGAGGTTAAATTATTTTCCCAATGAACCAGGGTTGATTAGCGGTAGAGGTGGGATTGGACTCCACCCAGGGTCCACGCAGTAGGAGTTCTTCCCCTGTGTCATAATCTAACGTACTGTTCCTTTGGGGATGACGAGTGGCAAAGAGCAGCACAAGGCAAAGGGAAAAGCAGTGGACCAAGAACTTTCCTTATCGTGGCTGTAGGACCTACTAGCTGTGCGACCCTGGGAAAGCTCCTTGCCCTTTACTTTTTCTTTGGCCCTTACTTTCTTGCCTGTAAAGTCACTGATAGGGGCCAAAACAGCTCCTTTCCAGAGCTTTGTCTGATGGAAGAAGCAAGGACAAATAGCCAAGAGATGGCAAAGAGGGATGGCAAAAGAGGTGGTAAGCAAAAGCCAGGAGCAGCATTTCCAGACCAGACACCCGCTTCTGGTTCTACCGGTCCAGAAGCAGGACAATCTCAAAACCATCCCTGAAATTCTTCAGTTCCACCAGGTTCTTGTGTGGAACACGACATGAGTTGGGCTCTTTCAGTGTCCACAGGTCACTGCCTCACACCTATCTGCCCTTGTTTGTGGCCAAGTCACAAGAAGAGCTGGGTGCACAATGAGTCCCCCAGAGAGGGAGCTAGGACATGACCCACACTAGATTTCTCACCACCCCAAGGCTTCTTCCCATCTTTTCTATACAAAAGCAAAGCACCCAAGGGGGGCGCTCTCCATAGCTGCTGAGGCACCCTTAGGGACAGCTGACCAGAGGACAGGCTGAAAACCAAGACTACAAAGGACTCACCACATTTTTGCAGTGGCTTAGACTGGCTGGTGCTTTATTCCTAAGTGGGTATAACAGTCCCTGTCCACCCAGTCTCGGGGTTGTTATGAGAAATATCAGAGTTGTTTGTGAAAGAGCTTTATAAACTGTGAACCAGTAAAGCACTGATACTACCAAGAGGTTCTGCTGTCTAGATGAGTGTGGCTCCTCTGTCTCTTCCGGGGAAACTGCTTGAAGCACACTGCCTCCTGAGAAGGAGAAGCACTCCACCCAGGCACAGGCAGCATCACAGTGACTTGTAGGAAAGAACATGATTCACAGCTCACGCTTTGACAACCTACTCTTACCCCACCGCCAGATGCCAGAATGGCCCGTCATTTTCTCCTCAGGGAGAAGAGGTAGTGCTAGGGAATGAATACCTCAAGACTGGGATTTAAATCTCATTTGTGACACCTACTGGTGGCATGACCATGGACGAGTCACCTGATCTGCCTCAAAGTCAGCTTCGTCACACATCAAATGAGGCAATTCGAGCCCACTCCACCTCACAGGGGTGTGTGAGTGCATGAGAAATAAAAGGTACGTTAAGACCTTTGTAACTTATGAAACCACCTATACATAAGTTATCATTAGTACCCATAATCACACATTCTACAGAGCTTATGAGAATTTCAGTATGTTCTTTTAGAAAACATTCACATTCTATTAGGGTCAAAATGTGGGAAATGGTACAAATAAATCCAGCATTCGTGGTCCTCATGTCCTAGGAAATAAGTATACGGTTTATGATCCTTTTGGACAATATTTGGGATAGGGATCACAAAGTGAATACTAGTAACTCACATTTAAGAAGCCTTGCACTGTTAGCAAAACCCAAGATTTAGATGCTGAATAGTAAGGCCTAGATGAAGTCTGGTCTCGTGCTCATTCTCCCACAAAGGTGAATGGAAGTAGTAAGAATGCTGGATGTCTGGGTCGGAACATTTGCATTCCATCCAAAAAGGACATTGTGCCAAAGGCACCACTCTCCCTTTTGGAACTCAAGTCAAACAAAAAATTGCCTTGGTCAGAGCACATTCACTCATTCATTACAGGTATGCCACCTCTACCTGTCCAGAGAAGACTTTCACTTTTGCTGTTAAAGTCAATTCCAGCCAGAGGAAGTGGTCCATGCCTCAGGAAGATGAGGCAGGAGGACAATGAGTTCAACGCCAGCCTGGGCAACTCAATGAGACCCTATCTTATTCCCATCTTTCTGCGAGTATACAAAAATGTGAAGATATTCCTGAATTTACTTCTTTTAAACATTTTATAAATTTAAAAAATCTTAGCTTATGCCTCAGTTAAAAAATGAATTCCGTTTTAAAATATGAATATAAAATATCCCACAGATATATATGGATGTCGAGCATGTACATATTTATATATATTTCATTCTTAACTCATCATTTAATAAATGAAAGGAGCACAGTTTTTTATTTTGTTTTCATTTATAAAATGAGATCTCACTCTCTCATCCAGGCTGGTCTCAAACTTGTGGGCTCAAATGATCCTCCCACCCCAGCCTCCTGAGCAGCTGGAACTCTACACGTGCACTACTGCACCTGGCTTATTTTTAATTAAGATTCTATTCCTGGTCCGCATTCGATGGGTAAATTAAGACACACAAGGAGGAAAAGTTCTGTAACAGGAAGCGAACCTAAAATTGGAACCAGTAAGTTTAGGCTCCAAGTCAAAACTACCACTTGTGGTTGAAAACAAAAAAGTCCTTTTCTTTCAGACCACCTCTTCTTTCCCTAGTGCCCGGAGACTCCGTGGCCTCTTACCTGACTCTCTCCTCTTCGGTCCTCTTCAGGACAGCATCCCGCTGCAGAACCTTCATAATGGCCTCTTGTTCCTCTTCCGTCAGAAAGCTTAGGTCAATCATTTTGAAAAGTGCACACAAAAATAATAGTAATGAACGTAGCTTAAAATTCTCAGGGCTAAACAGCTAAGACTACAACCAGGAAGATTAAAAGATGCAAAAATGAAATGAAAAAATATCTTGTTCAGTTCTGTGGCAAAGGTCTTGTTTGGGCTCAGCAAAAGTTTTGCGTGGCTGATAGCAAACTCCTACATGCCTTTTGCCATGAGGAAGTAGCAGTCTGGGCAATGATGTGGAGAAGAGGCTCTCAGGAGATTACTGCGTTCCTTGTGACCCCAGCAGCATTCCCAGTCCACTCCCACTCTGGTCCAGGCTCAGACACAGTGTCTTCTCTCTGTATCCTGTGGTCAACTTGAGAGGCAGCAACATCGGAGCATCCCTGATCTGGGGAACCGTGAGAGAGCAAACAGGAGAGAGTGAGAGGCAGTTCTTACAAGCACTGCCCAGTACGACAAGAGTTTGAAATGACCATTTGAGATGGTCTCTGAGATGAGGGAAACCAGTTCTGCTGGCTTTCTGAGCACATGGTAAAGGCGTCATGAAATATGCTTTAACCCGATTCCAGATGGTCAAGATGCAGAGCACACAAAAATGCCTGTCAATGTTTAACAACACACCTCAGAAAAGGATGGCTGTGAAAAGGAACTGGTTCTGCATAAGCTCTGGCTAAAAGCTCACGCTAAAGGTCACATGTGATTCCAGTTGTCAAGTAACTGTAAATAAGAAGCCAGAAATAAAAATGTTAAATGTTTACTTCTTCAGAAGTAGGAAAGTTCCACTGCAGTATCTGTGCTGTGTAGTGGGGGAGATTAATATTAAGCAGGATAATAGGAATTATTCACTCAGTTGTACCTCTACTGCCTGCTGTACCTAGAGGAACCTACCAAGCCAGTCATCCTTCATTTCTGAGCACTTGCTGGTATGTAACAGAAACTGGGGAAAAGAAGAAAATTTCAAAACATCCCACCATCCAAAGCAAGTATTTTTGAGACTCTGATTTTCTTTGAGGTATCTTAAACGTGTGAAATGAGGTGAGATCTGAAGAATGCCACAGCCAGAGGGGACTTCAGATATTATTTATTAAAGAGTCCAGGTCCTTTTGAAAACTGTAGTGATGCATATATGGTAGATACTCAAAACCATGTGTCTGGTAAGTTTGAAAGCAGTCTCACTTAAGGGCAAAAATAGATGTGTACACTAGTGAGTGAAGTTCATGAGTAAATTCCTTGAAAAACAGAATTACTTGGTGGGAGTTCCCCCTGTGACTTGCTAACTATAAGCCATTAGGTGAATTACTGACAACTCTGAGACTCCGTTTGCTTATTTGTACTTAACATTATACTTATCACAGACTGTAAGGATTAAATAAAATAAATAAATATAAAAAAGCACACATGTTGCATGCTGTACCATATCTAGTTACTAAAAAATATTTTAGCTTCCCCTCTGAGTTCATATTTTTGTTCCATCTAGGTGAATAAGACTACCTCGCTCTATGTTTTCCAGATCTCTTTTGTGTTATATCCTTTTCTGATCTCCCCTGTGAAGTGTGGACTCTGACGATTTTAATTTTATTTTCATACAGCTCTTGCAAATCACCCATAGCGACCACTTCAATAAATATTAAGACATAACTTCGATCTCTTTTTTCAACTTTGCATGCACTTACATATATGTTCTGGCCTGTTTGTTTGCCTCGAAAACTACCCAACCTTCAAGACAAATCAAAGTTACCACTACAAGGAAGCTTTCTCTAACCTCCATAGCCACAGTTAAATGCTGTGATAGATTAAATTACTGTGTCTAACTCTTCACTCCCTCCCAGTAGCAGCCCCGGACCCACACCCCCTGAAATAGGGCTACTCAGCTGATCTACAGATAGGAAACCAAGAAGTGAATATTTTTGAAATTGTTATACAACTAACTTGATTGATACAAAAGCCTTCCCATATACATATTTCCCCTGCTTTTAACTGTCTGCTCTGCCTCTTGCTTGACTGTGAGTGTCTGAATGTGAAGTAACACTGCAAATGATTAAAAGAATGAACGAACTGAATCCATATAGGCAGCATCACCAGGAGATTCTATCTCAATTCTTCCTGTCTTTTATGCACAGCACCTTCCCCAGAGGCCAGAGGCTGGCAACCAAATGGATAAATGACACATTCTGAGAACTAAGTCCCAGTGATGCTTTACACAGCCATTGGGTTCAGTAGGAGACTGGTCTTTTTGTTTGTTTGTTTTTGAGACAGGGTTTCAATATGTAGTTCAGGCTGCCCTTGAACTCACTGTGTAGCCCAGGCTGGCTTCAGCCTCCTGAGTGTGGGGGTTATGCGCATGTGCCACTGCACCTGGCTGGGGACAGTTTTTAAATTCAAAGAGTGGGGACAGGACGACAGCAAAGGAGAAAAACAACTTAAGTGGTCCAGCAGTGTGGAGGGGAAGAGTTGCTGAAGAGGGCAAGGATGGTTCCCACACCTTCAGTCAGAACCACGAGCCCACAGTGCGGAAGTGTAAAAGCTGTTAAGGGTTAAAGAGTTCTCACTAAAGGTAGCCTATGAGTGGGGCAAAGGGCAACAGTCTCACTCTCCAAAGGAACGAAGGCTGCATTCTTTCCTGATTGGGTATCCAGTAGTCACTTCCCAAATAGACGCAGGAGAGTGCTCAGACAGCAACCGACACGCTTCAAGACTGCTGTTAACCCAGCTCCCACCAAGGTGGACGGCTCCGAGCTGAGACTGCAGGAAACATTTCTCTCATTCATTCAGTGAGAGGCTGCCACCAGTCTACTCTGGAGATGCAGCCATGAATAAGAGAGAAGGGGAAAAAACCTTCTGCCTTTGTAGAGTTTACACGTTACTAGAAATAGGCATCATCAAACTAAATAATGAAGAACACATTTTTCATTAAAAAATTTAAATAATTCAATATATAACATGTTGGAAGTGGTAAGAGCTTGAAGGAAAACAAGTCTGAGGAGGGAGGAGAGTAAGGTGGGAGAGCTGGCATTTAGCAGCGGTTTGGGGAAGTCTCACTGAGGAGGCAACACTTGAACAAATGCTTTACAGAGATGAGGAAACAAGCCAGGCAAATATCACAAGGTCCCGAGGTGGAGCGTGTCCGGCTGTTCAAGAAACCACAAGGAGGCCAGTGCTGGCACAGCAGTGTGCCAGGACAGCAGGGAGGCAAAGGCGGAGAGGAAGTGAGTCAGGTGTCTTAGGCCTGGTAAGGACTATAACATTTCTGGATTTGCTCTGAGATGGACAAGCAATAAGAAAGGGCAGGAAAACAGCAGGGAATAAATGTTTCCTGGGCACCTCCTACACACTGCTACTTTGTGCATATACGCACAGTGATGCTGGTGGAGGTTTTATCTGTGTTTTTTCCAATGAAGACAGCAAGGCCCGAGGATGTGTTCGCTACTAAGTGCAAACCAGCATTTGCCGTAGTTTTGTCTGAATAAACCACTATAGCTTTGACATCCTGGTTTAGACCTAGAATGTGCCCGAAAAGTCTCATGTGTCCAGAGGGGGCGCTCTGGGGAGGTGATGGCCCGCGGAGGTGCTGTAGGGTCGGTGGATGTATCCACTGATGAGTTTGGAGGTTAAGGTGCCATTGGGATGTGTGGCCTCGTTTAACTAAGCTAAAAAATCTTTGACACGGCCTGTGAACAAGTACCTCTTTCCTCTCTGAGCTCTTTTCCTTGGGCTTCTGACATTCTAAACTTTTTAAGCTCCTTTTGCCTTCATGGCTTTACATATTCTGTTCCTTCCTCCTGGAGCAACCTTCCCTGCTGGGTCTCCAGTTACAGTCACTTACTACACAGAAGCCTTCTCTAACCCCTAAACTCACAGAGCTAGGTTAGTACCCCTCCTAGGTGCCTGTAGCACTCAGCTTCCTTGGTCACAGTGCTCATTACACTGCCCCAAATCCCTATCTGCCCATATTTGTCCCCCACCAAGGTTCAGTTCTCTGAGGGCTTTGTATCTCTAGAACGTGTCCCTCAAATAGGCACTAAAATACTGTATTTGTGGAAATTTTTAAAAAGCCAGGTGGAGAGGATGGGGCTTCCACTTCGCCCTTACCCAGAACCTAGCTCTAGGGCCCACAGGTGAAAAATGAAATCTATATTATTCCTGGGTTCTAGCACCAGGTCTTGCACATGACTCTGATTTGAATAGGTCACTTCTCCATGTCTCGATTATCTCGTGTGTATGCTGAGCACGTTCTCTTCTTCAAGGAGATTACCGTGAGAATGTGGGACTCTGCAGAGGACAAATGTAGAACAAATGCAGCATGAGCAACAGTAGCACAAAAGGGAAATTTGAGAGCTTCACATGGGGACTGTGCTTAATTCATATTTTCCATGTGTTAGTCCTGCCATGCCACATCTATAAAAAAACAATGCTCTGCGTTTTGTCAATTGTCCAAAATGTAAGCTGGGAAGAAAAACCAAAACCCAAAACACTTGATGGTAACAAAGTTAAGAGCTGGGTTGCTAACCCCAATCTCAATCATTTTGCCTGACTGGACTAAATTAAATAAAGCCTCGTGAACAAAAAAATTCTTTCCCAGTGCGCTGTGCTGTGAGACCATCAGGAAGCATCTTCTCTTTTCCTACACAGCTCCTGCCGAGTGAAACGCTATGGACCCTGAGGGAGGGGAGCAAAACTCATGTGAGAAGTGACTCTCACATGACGAGGTTTTCAGAAGAGAAGTACATTGTTCTGACAGTCCCATGACATCAAGAAGGAAGGCTTGAAAAAAAATCTAGGCAGTACAAGCAGAGCAGAAACAAATACACTTGAGTTGAGAATGGTGCTTCAAAAAAATTCTGATTAACAGAAATGTTTATCTCCAGTGATAGCACTTATAAAATCCATTTTGTGTAAAACTAATTTTTTTTTAACTTTCAGGTCATGATGACATCAAAGGATGAATAGAATAATCCATTGGTGGTTCAAGAGAAACTGAGGACAGAGCCCAGTGCAGGGTGACCATCAGAATCTTTGCTTCTCCCAGAAGAAAGATCCCCCAGGACTGACTGGTGCTCATTAGATACCCAGGCCCATCCTGCATGTGTGTTAATGCCACTAATTGTCCTGCTGGGCTGCTCCACCTCTCAGGCTGGCTTTGCACCCCCAGTGACCTTGCCTGTACATTCCACCTGTTGGCTCCATGCCACCCTGCCCTCTGGGAACACTTTTAGTTAACTCTCCCTTTCTCATAATAGCTTAAAGGGAAGACAGATTTTACGTTCTCCTTCAGTCTCCTTTGCTAAGAGGAAGATAAACTTTCTCCTTTTAATTGTTCTCTTGTGTTTTCTAAGTCAGTCATGATAGTGGTCATTTTTGTCTGGACTGCAAAATAAGCAGGTAGTGCTAAGTACTTTCACATATGATCTCAATTAATCACTCTGACCACACAGGAATGAAGGTTTCCTTCGCATCACGTAGATGAGAACACAGGGGCTCCAGGAATTAAATACCTCATATAAAGTCACTCAACCGAAGTGTGATTTGAACCCAGGCCTTAAGATT